AAATTGCACTGGAAATAATTTTCCATACATCACTTTGGGGTGGCTTAGTGGTTGTTAGTTCCAGTGGGTAAATTCAATAATTTCCACCGCTTGGGAGCGTCTTACATGTCACTATGCTTAATCTCTCGTTGAAACTTTGTCAGTGTATTGGAATCCGTGCGGCACAAATTACGAAAAAATATCCCTCAGTAAGGTCCAGAAAGTAAGGGATTGTGCAAACTTTAAAGAAGAGAGACTGAGCAATAGGACTCAGGGCGATGATTGGCTGATACCACTCTCTTTTTGCTTCTTCTAGCATAACCGAAATTGTCCTTGTCTTGATCCTAACATCGAACCGCGTACGGACGGTAGGTCCTCATTCAATGATGAAACGTTTGCAAGTCAAATGCTAACCCCGGTAAACAGATCAGCTGCAGCCCGTGCAACGGTTAATTTCCCAAATAATTCACGATCATCAAGTAGAACCTGATATTGTCAAGACGTGTGCTTGGATGAACACCATCCGTAACTGTAAAACAGAAGTTCGTTTTGGGAGATTAATCCATTATGCGCTTTGCCCTGATTGGGGCACTTCAGGTGCAGGTAGCAGAGACCGCCCATGTGATTTTCAGGCTCACACTTTCGATTCCAAGACCAAGCTACCGCAGAGGTAAATTGTGCACAAAGTATATGCGGATTCAAGTAGTTTTTCTTGTTCTAACTGATCATTGATACTTGTTGGGAACCTGACGACTACTTGATAGCCAGAACTGTTCCAAACTTATTCACCATTTCCGAGAGGGATCCGATAAGTACCCAGCAATGGAACAGGAGTTTATCTGATGTCCACCAAACGGTGAGTTTGATATGGAGCACATCTAAGTATTTGTATAGCGCTAATTCAATCTTTGTCTCATGTAATATTAATTTCATTGGAAGGGCTTTCAGCCAGTCACAGCCAAGGTTTCGACTCTCTCTGGGAGGGGATCCACGAAGGGATTGTGGCACATGGTTACAATTTATCGAGAATAAAACTGCTTCACTCGTGTGTGTAAGTAGTTCTGACTGGCACGTAACTGGCATCGGGAAGTTAATGCGTCACGAATAGTAACCGCCGTGCACGTGTCTATCAATATACCAACTGGGAACCGTCGATCTCCACGTATGGAGTGGATGGCACCAGTCGGATGCGAGTGGTTCCCGACACCATAGAGATATCACTAAAAACAAAATCCTCATACGGGGCGGTGGAGTCTAGCAGAGTGCCTCAGACTTGGACCGGGTGTCTAAAATTACCATACTAGTGGGATTCGGTTTGTATGGCGGCGTTCAGGGAGGAATCCCGATTGTCTCAGCAATTGTAAGTAAGCAGATAGACTGTTTTTTGTTTGAATATTTACAAACGACGAGTTTACCAAGTTTCGTTACAATCAGGGCTGAATTATTTCACGATAATCAAGTTCACGAGTATCCTGACTGTACGGGTCGTCAGTAGAGTGCTGGAAGAATGTTCCCATGATGGCACTCTGGTAGCGATTCCTGGATTATTGCGACGAAGTCGTCTAATATTTTCTTCAGAATTTGGAGAAGCGATCTAAGTAACATCTGTACAATGCTGAGAATTCCAGAAGAATGAGAACGATGTGCAATACTAGGGTAAACGTTTAGAGGCATCTCCGATATGGATAGCAATTCAGAATGCTTAATGGAGATTTATTTTCCACTAGTTGCACAAGATGGCCTCCCACCAAATATCAGCGTGCTAATCGCAGCCAAATGGCTGTCTGTCTCTCGGGTCAATTTGACTGGCATGTAACCTCAGCAAGAAGAACGATTGTGCATTGACAAACCTGATTATGACGACAGAACTGAAGCAGAATATCGACCAAGCAGAGATGGTAAGCATCCGAATTGATTAGTTTGAAACAGAAGCTTTTGTGTACACGTGAGACAAGGTATGACATCCATACTTGAAGTGTATTTCATGTCCCCCTTTACAATTACTCATGAATTTCACTATTTACCTTTTTTCCTACGATAAATATTGAGTTACTTTGCCAACGAAAGAAGCAGTCGAGATACCAACGTTGGGTTCGATCCAGACTTTCCGGCCAGTGAGCTTGCTTCTTAAGCACCGAGGTACCTCACGCTCTTTCAACGTATCGTGGAGTGTTATACTTTAGTTTTATCAGTCTCCATTATCCACCAAAGTTTTAGTCGCAAGAACATCTCAATTGGCGGTCTAAGCGCCCATTGAGACCAGAAACAACTTTCTTCCGTAAACGGAATAGACAACAAAGGGAGCATTCAGCCGTCGCTTGAATCTACCAGCTCAGTCGATTCCCACTTTCTAAAGTTAACTGATAAGGTCTCGTCTGTAGATCTTTTACGAGGGAGACAGTACGCTGGTTTTCTCAGGCATGTTTTCAAGAACCCCAGTTTACTGGTTAATTTCCAAGTGATTGGTTGTTAAGTTGTCCGCTGAGTTTTCGAAACAGCAGACAGATGCTTCGCAAACGAGCAAGGAGACACAGTCAGTGCGTTTTTTAGAAGGCATCTTTTTCTTCTCAACTTGCGTTGTTTTTAGGTGGACATCAAACACCTAAAACTATATAGGGATAAACAAGTATCCACCTGATATTTTTCCCTTCCGACACCAATGCAAAGTTCGCCGAACAGATAAGTATGGGACACCTGTGTGGTTTCGGAACGTGCGCGTGTTCGTTTCACCTTCTGGCTGCGATTTACATGGACGAGGTAGATGCGCATGACTCGCTTGGCTATTCAGAAGCTCTGGCAGCCTGATATGTAATAAGTCCACCAGAACCACGTACTGAAGTCCATCTCGAACAACACTTCTGATATTGAGACTTACTGGAAGGTACCGTCCGTAATTCTGCAAGATGTTGGGCGACCCACTTGTGGAATGGCTCAACTTGGTTGCTGCTTGCTCGAACATTTATTTTTACAAGCCGACAGTACGGTGCTGCTAGATGATCTGTTAGGTTTTAATTGAAAAAGAGCATCTATGCGGACCGAGGGTTGCTGAACGAAGAGATGGAGCAGGTGAGAAACTGGAAATGTGCGTAAACTGTTCCAGCTGGGAAGCGCAACGGGCCCACAGAAGCCTCCGGTGAGCGAAACAATGACTGATCACAAAGGTTCAATTACTTATAAAAAAGAAGAGAGCCTAATTCGTTGGGCCGAACATTTCCAAGACCAATTCAAAGCAGCCAATTCGGAAGTAGACTCAAACATCTCGAGTTGCTGCCCTGAAGAACTCCCACCCATCCCGTTTGAACATGGAGGTGAAATGCACAGTCGGTTCTTGTTTAACTTATCCGCATCTATCCGGTAGAAAGACACCGCTGCATCCAAATGCAGTGAGTAAACAATGGTGCTCGCAGTGAGTGTGGTAACCAAAGAGGAAGTAGCTTGTAACTAAACTCTGTGTCGCTTAGTTTACGCCATCTTAAGAAGGTGCGCGAGGATGCTGCCCGAGAACAGCCAGCAGGATTCCGGCGGGGAAGGGGCTGTGTGGATCACATATTCACACTCTGTGGTGTCAGAGTATTGGCATGTGTATCGACGCCACATAATTGTTTTTTGACTTCAAGAGCGCTTTCCATTCTGCCAACCGGTTAGCTATTTTCAACACGATTGCGCAACAAGGTATGCGCGTTTTGCAATTGCATACATGTAGACGCGTGAGTGCATGGGGAGCCCTACGAAAACTTTCCCAGAAATGGTGACGTACAACAATGCTCAATCCCTCCATTTTTGTTTGGTTTCGTTATTGATGAGGTAATGAGGTGAACAGTAGCAGATCTCTAAAACCCCGGCATTCAGATTTTCCCGAGTGAGAACCTTACCGACCTGGAATATACAGACGATATGGTTCCAATCTTTGGAAAGGAGAAGCAAGCCAAAGCATTGCTAGAATAGCTCACCAAGGTCATCAAGTCCTCCAGAATGTGCCTTGCGACCACAAAGTGCAGAGATGCAGCACGACGTACAGTCTTTGTACATACTATTGGGAATTCAAGAAACGAAACTGGAAGTTGTGGAACACTAAAGGTGTCTCTGATAGTGGTGCGACAGACGAAGTGAACTCCAGAATCTCGAAGGTCAGAATTACGTTTGTCAATTGTACCATTGCGGCGTCAAAAAGGCATCTCCACGGGTCTCAAAAAGCCTCAAACTAGAATATGGGCTGAATTGTTGTACGGCTGCGAGACGTAGCGAAATCTGACGGAGTATCTCAGACACCTTCAGGACTTGAACCACCAGTGTCTGGGAAGTATAGCTGGAATCGACTGGGACGAGCGAATTCACGGAGGCGGTCAGAAGACGTGTGTAGTGGAATGGAGGGTATTCCCCGCAAAGAATGCATCCAGCATTGCAAACCAAGCTGGCTGAGCTGTGTTACACAAGCCAAGCGATCACCTAACGAGATGAGCACGGCTTTCCGTGCCTAACTTGGAGAGGCCCAGATCTAGAGTTGGACAGAATCTGACATGGCAGAAGGAAATTAAAAGATATTATGAAACGTTTTGGCGATACCAGCCCTCAAGAATGGGGTCCACGTGACCCTCCCTGCGCCTGGCTGGAGACACTTAGAGATACGGGAGCTAACCGACGTCAGTGATATTTATGTCGTTAGTTCCTATCTAGATTGTCTGACTGAGTGCTGAGGCACAATGACCAATTCCAATATTCAACTATGGTGTCGGACAAGATGGTAGGGGAGGGAGCCTATTCGGCTCATGTCATATAACTCCGATTCGGAGAGCCGGTTTTGCTTATTATCTGTCTTCCCGTTTGGTTTGGCGTACTTCATCCGAATGCAAAAGACGAAGGCGACTTATTCACCAAAACCTACGCCCCAAATAGCGGCCTTTGCTGAACGGGACATTACACCCAGAGCTTCCAGGCTATGGAGGTCACGTAGAAGACTCAATCCACGAGCAGACAAATAAAGTACAACCTCCAACACTCATGAATTCAAGCTAAGTTGGGGCGGAAGCGTCAGTTTGCCGAAAATCACACTTCACATTGCTACCACAACCCAGTTCCGTAATGGAATTTATACTGAGGAAAATAGGGGCAAGGAACAGGACGAGACACTGGAGATTATGTCTCCCTGCCATCATTTCATGTATATGTTTAGTATTATGCGTCACAATAATCTGGATGACTGGCAGATGCAGAGGGACCAACAAAGGCAAACTGTCTGGATGTTAGTTAGGTTTGGTGTGATAGTTCGTGGTACATAGGTGTATGGTTGAAGCTCACGGGGAGGAGGTTAATGTGGCACAACGTTTGGTGGGCCTTGGGATGTGATACCGTTAGCAGTATGCTCACGATCGCACCGTTCCAACGCTAGCTGGCGAAGCTCCTCAACCGTGTGAGCGAACATATTCCATTCGTCTGCGCGAGGGGTGACCATTGTCTAAGGTAAAGTGAAATATTAAGGGGAGGTTATTCGGGTGTATAAAAGGGGCAGTGGAACGTCACGAAAAAAACAGCAGTCCATCGCGACGACCTCACTGGAAACAGTTCAAACTGTCTAGTTTCGAGGTCACATTAACAAAGTACTAAAGAAACTACACCCAGTAAAAAAATGCTCACACTGCTGACTATCACTAAACAGCCAACTATTGAAAAAAGACCGATTTTGGTGGACACATAAATCATTAACATTAGGGAAAACAAAACCACTTCCTACAGAGAATAGCACACAACAACCTAGTGAGTAGGCACTTTCAAGAATGGAATCTCTAATACTCCCTCTCTACAGAAGTACACCTCCTTGCAATACACACGAGTTTCCGTCTCGCATTTGCTGACGTTATACCTCATGTCCAATAAACAATCTTGATGACCAGTGAGCGCTCGCTTATTTACAATATGTCCATATACACTGATCCGTGAAATTAAACGTCATACTGATCTCGCATGACTAAACCAAATCCACTTAAGATGAAGAGATGGCTGAAGGAATTTTAATGACAGGAGACATCGAGCACATGTGCTGGGAGAACTTTGAAGGCAGTAGGGTTAACCCTCCTCTAGCACAAACTGGAAATGCTGTTGGCTCGGGTAAGGCAGAAACAGAATGAACAGAAGAGAAAACTGGTAGAAATGCTCAGGACAAGAGAAGGTGGGTTGTTCAGCTGCTCGCTTGGCTTGGGAATTCTGTTGCAGAGTACCCGATTTAGTAGAGAGCAACCTATCCGCATACAACCGTCCCTCTTCAGTTTTAGTCACAAGCTTCAGTTATGCTATGATGATAAAATGCTGTACCGCCACGCTAGTTGCCAAGGGTAAGACTAGCCGAAAAGATGTGTTATCGGGGCCTGAACGAATCTGCGCAGTGACCATGTGACGACATTGAAGTGTACACTTGTGTCTGGGGGCCAGCGTCTCCTTATAACCGAACATCACATCAACTGGATGGATGTGTTACGTGCGGGCTGCGGACAAACCGAAGGCATGTCTTGATTAGTCAGAATGTCAGCCAATCTGGATCGAGCACATATAGCTCGACCCTCCTGACATCCCCACGGAAATTCTGGCGCAACCTTGTGTCAGCCAATCGGATCGAGCACATATAGCTCGACCCTCCTGACATCCCCACGGAAATTCTGGCGCAACCTTGTGGAGCATTCTATGATGACCCTGTAAGTACGGTTATGGTAATCTCCTTTGTCTCCATAAAGAGCTATCAGAAGATACCGTGTCATTTGGTATACCAAAGTGGGCGGAGCAGAAAGCCAAGGACCGACATACCGTTGGACCACTGTTCAGAAAGTCAAAACTTGGCACTACACTTCCAATTTTGGAGCAAGAGATCAGCGAATCCTTTCATTCTGTTGATATTGCAATAATTCTGAGAAAGGACGGAGCGCTTCACTGATTAAGATAAGGGGACTCAACGTAGTGTAGGGGTACATATTTCCACAGCATTATGACGAGATCCCACACTTTACATTACCACAAAACGAGCTGTTGTTTTCGGTAGAGGTCGTAATTGGAAAAATCCGATTTTTGTTGTTGTATCGTAGGTGGCTGTCTATTAGTGAACTGAGCCTGTCAGACTAGGCTGTTAGAAGACAGGAGATCCGGAACACGGTTGTATTGTCGGGACAAACATGCAGATCTTAATGGTCGAATATAGCCATTCGGTTGGTCGTCCTGTCCAGCCAGTGGCGACGTTCCGGCCGAGTTTCACACCCACTCGCTATCCACATGCTGCTAAGCCGTGTTTGGTAAACTCCGCGCAGGTACCTGCTATCCGGATGGTGTGGTACCGATGGTGATCTTAATGACGCGTCGTTCTCCGCACATGTACTTTTCATGTCTGGACGCCCCTTGACACTGGTAGACGGTGTTCACACAAGCGTAGTGCACGCCTGAACCCCATTAGCCTGATAAGCCTTGTTTGCTGCTCGAACGAATCTGACCACTTTGTACCAGCTTGGCGACTGTTCTATCACGCACATGCTCAGTCATCAAGACACACACGGGGACAAGATTCAGTCACAAAACAGGACTGCTCTCATAGTAGTTTTGCGGGCACAGCCTTTTAACCACAGTGCTATTCGCTGCTGACGCCAAAGGTGACGCTATTTTGAAAATCTTACTTCTGCCTTGGTGACGCGTGCATTGATTTCATTTGTTACTGTGTAGTAACAGCTTATACGGCAGTGAAGTGATCAGCAAAACTAAACTCATCTTTCCAAGATTACAAAGTGGTGCATGGGAGTGAGAAATTCTGGACTGATATCATATACTTTGAGGGGATAACATTCAAGCCGAGACACGGGAGTACATCCGATATTCTGTGTGAGGAGGTTTGTGCATACGCATTATTGTCAACTGACAGAACAATGCCATCCGGATAATCTGGGATTTCCAGATGCGATTTAGACATCAAATTCGATATTCCTTATAAAGTATGCTTTATGGTGGTGTCGGTAGCAAAACTGAACGAAAAGAGGGGGATTCTAGTTGTGGGAAACTCTCGGATAACATCCAACGCAACTCGAAGTAGGGAAATAAGTCAGAAACTTCGAGGACATTCTTCAATGACCTCAATTCCTCCACTCAATAGTCCACTGACAGTGCTGTATTTGCGCACCAGTTTAGCAGCCCCGCCTTCAATTCGCAGATACCTACCCCACCTGTCCAAATCATCGGTGAACGAAACTGTGGCAGCTACATCCACTGTACGACAAGTCGCGGTTCTTACAGATGATGATAACGTATATGCAAAAGAACTAGCCCATTCACGAAGCCAAAATCTCCTATGAAGTCATGGGAAACCGGCATAATATATGGAAAATTTTAAACTTAAAGGAGCGTGGTGAAGTCAGATTTTATCGTCTAACGTTGAGGCTGACATGGGCCACCTTCTTGTAGATATCCTCGAAGGTTGCCGAAGGCAACCGAAAAGCCGGATTATAACAATTTATTCCACTACGCCATGTTCCGTCTTTGCAGTTTCCATACTATACACCACACGGCGCTGAATATCTCTAACAATCTTCGAGGCGAGTTTGGCCCGGAACTCATAAAACCGATATAGCTGTTTACCCCACAACCACGAGCATCACACGACAACATCGTGACTTGCCTGCAACCTTGACCGAATAAAGCTCACCTGTTCGTATGCGGCGAGGCGACTCTATGTGATTTCACATTGCTATTTTTCCACGCCACAAGTTCACCCCGACACACAGGCTTCAACGACCCTAGATATATAAACGAGTACACAACGCGCACACAGGACACGAAACGAGAGAACAACAACAAAGGTTGACCCAACGTGGAAACGCGAAGCCATTGACACCCAGGCCGCGGACAATTCAGGTGTAGCAGTTGAACGTGTAAAGGAAACCACCTGTGTCCGCACAAATTCGGGGGAATTACTGCGACTCACGTTCAAAACGATAAGTCAGCCTTGTTGAACTGTTTCATCCGGACATTGCACTTTGTCTCACCAACTTTGTCTCTCACCTATCGCACCTCGTTCTCACAACATATATTTCATGGGTGCCTATAACCTTCTGATTACCTAGTTGATTTTGTAACGTAGTGCACTAAAATACCCCTTTGGATGCAGCAGTTTCTTCAGCTAATCTTCTTGGGGTGCCTATACCTTCTGATTACCTAGTTGATTTTGTAACGTAGTGCACTAAAATACCCCTTTGGATGCAGCAGTTTCTTCAGCTAATCTTCTTGAACAAAGGTACAACGAATGATCAGACCAACCCCCTGAGTTAAGACAAAACACGACGACTCACCACCGCCTTCAAACAACACTGGAGCGAGTCTAATCGGCCTTGCGTCCACATGGCGCTTCAAGGCAGAACGGCGTATTAGTAAGTCAAAAACCGAAGGAGGGTATGAACTTGAGGAATATGGGACGAGTTGAGTGACAAGGGCAGACTGCTAACTTATACACCGTCCGAAATATTCAAGATGCTGGTTCTTGTTAGGCACCAGATTTGATGATATTACGGACAGCAAGGTTTTCCGTCCGCTTTGCGAATCGTATGGAATAGTTTTCGGGCAATCCCAAATTAACTGACTTCCTCCATTTTCAGAGCCTACTACGCCAATTGTGCTTGAGATGACGTGGTGGATTTATGCTCATCGTCCAAACGAATACAACCTCTCGCATCGAGCTGCAACAGTGATAGTGCTTATTTGGTAGGCTCCCACAAATAACAGAAATACCGAGTTACCCGCCCTACTATCTGCGTCTCCCGAGGATACAGCTTCGCATAGAATCGGTTGACAGGATTGTTTAACATCTGGATGAGAAAACGTTTTGGGGATCAAACGACGAGTTTGGTTCTGACGTCATCTACGGGAAGCTTATAGAAACGGACGACAGCATAATTCTGAATGGACGTGGGCAGACCAGGAAGATCAACAGGCCAGCTCAGAGCCTTACCATCGGTTACTGATGACTATGTGGTCGGTGTGGTTAAGTGGTCGCTCACTGGTAGAACGACGCCAGGTAATGTAACAGAGTCTGCTGCTTCGAAACCCAGTACAACAAGTAAACAGTTGGTATCAGTACAGAGATGCATAGGACGACAATCAGTGCCAGTATGTTTTGCACCTGAGACACCTGGCGGTACCATATACTGGGAAGCGTGCACCGAGGCCTTCGGGGGCAGGAACAAGAGCTCAACCTGATGTGCCAGATAAATGAGTAGCTAGCTCCCGAATCGGGGCTATAGTTGTTTGGGTGCATAAATTACAAATAGGGAACGGATTATGTTTCGGATAGCTCGACCTTTTATGAAGGCTGATAAAACAGCATAAAGCTGGTTACTTAAGGAATTCCAACCAAATAAGGCAGCAAAAAACGGAAGCTGAGAACTATACCGATGTAGGCGCAAACCAACAAAACAGCTACAGAAGTGTCTGAAGTTTGTAGGCGGTGTCTAGATAGCATAAACTCGATTACTGTACTTCGAACTTTTATCTGATGTTCTGTTGATGAAATGTCAAGGGTGCGTGGTGAAGCAGCTTGCTGGCCAATCAACTTCAGAGTGCGAACACTAAAGTTGCGATATAAACATAAGAACAAAACTTGAGGAGCGGAGGTGAAGCGTAGGTGTGAACGGTGCTCGACCGTTCCATTAGTCACTTCCTTAAGTGCAAAGCTAACGTGCTTGTCACTGGGATTAAGAAAGGGTGAAGGGGTTTTGAGAGATAATACTAGAGACAGGTTTCAGGTTCCAGCAGTGGCCTGTTTTCGCTTGCCCGTCGTGTTGTGTACATCAGGTAAGACGAACCGGTCGGTGATACGATTCAGGTTTTTTTGTGGGCTGAGATACTGCCAGGGCGGCCATACCTACACAGGAGGACGATTAGGATGGTCAACCAAAGCTTAACCGCAAGCCAGTGATGGCTGGTGTGAGAATACCAGAGTAGAACAACCTTAAGGGACACGTCGCCTCACATGTTCCAAATTCCAACCTAGAAGGCCAGGAGACCATTTAGTCTAACTACTGTTCATCGACTAATCTGGTACAGCAGACTGCGGATTTAACACGGACAACGTCCAGTAGATCTCAATGAATTGCACAGGTTCACGAACCGTTAAGGTACCCTATTAGTGATGGATGAAAGCACTGACCCTACCTTGGCTGACGAACCACTACCGTTAATTAACCTTCCCCACGGAAGTTTTAACTATTCCATAGGTAGGTATTTTGCTCGGGTATCCCTTTATTTTCTTAAGTACTTTGCCGAAAACAATGACGTACAATAGCAAAATAGAAAAAGAGTGGGGACAAACGGGGCACCGTGCACTCTCGACCAAACAGATCAACTGCTTAACATCCTACACTCATCATTTTTGAATGCACTACTGAACAATGAACCTCGTTATTTTTTCGAAAACCTCAACACCCAGTTGATCAGTAACTCACTTCGTTTAGATCATAAATATGGATGCGACCTCCACGATCACCCGCAGCAATATGCAGTCCGGAAGAGTGGAACCGACACTTACTAATTGCAGTTTGACCTTCGGTGACGGTCCGAGTTGCTGGGACCTGAAGGTAAAATTAACGTGGGAAATTGGAAGATTCTAAGTAGTGGGACAGGGAGGGAGATAAATATATGTCCAGTCAAGTGGATTCTCTACTAATCATGTCCAATTGTGCGAAGAATACAGTAGGTAGCGGATGTGCAGACAAATATATACACTGCCATTGGGGAGTCGAGGTAAGACGACTCGTCTCTGAGATTAACACTGTAAAACGAAAGCTTTAGCTCAGCAGCAACGAACACTCTTCTGAGTGACTGTTTTTGCACACTTCTAGTATATTTTGAAGAGCCGTCACTTTCGAAGGGAAGAGGTGTTAAACACTGACTTTTTGTTAAACGTGAGCTGTTTCCCTGTCACCGGTATCAGCTTCATACGCTTTCCAATAAAAATCGGGGATTGCGAATTCCTCGCCTAGAATATAACGTGGGCAAATACTTCCGACACTACTCGGTAAACTGTGAACAAAGTTTCGTTTGTACGAAATCGTTAGTCTACATTGGCCAGTTCATGTAGACTTTCTATACGTCCCTCGTTCTAAGGTGCCATTGGTTTTCTCCTGAGAACCGCATCCACATAACGGAAGCAGTTTTCAGACTTTTTTCGGCAGTAGATGGGAGTGGTAGGTTGTTAAGATTTATCGCTGGTTGATTTGGAGTCAATAATTGAAAATATTCGTCTACATAACATCGGTTAGATTGGAACTGACGAACAGTCGGATTGCGAGAAGAGTGCTCAAGCTTACTGGTGGAGATATCAACTAAAAGAATTTCAATTGACAAAGCCATTGTGACCCCATATTGCTGACTATATGTAGCACTGGAACTGTATACTGAGGGTGCAAGAAGGTAGTGACAGTTTTAGAAATACGACTGGAATAGTGAACCCAATTCCAGAAGTGAGCCATACAAGGAATTTATAGTTTCTGCCAACAGAAAAATTGTGAGCAGAAGCGGCCTCAGAGGAACACATGACTTTGTCACAAATTCGAAGTTACTGACTGAGTGGGCGAAGTCGAACGTGTCCGTAAACAAAATGTCCAGAGTTGTCTGTGTTCAGGTCTTACCAGCGCAGGCAGCTAACGGGCTACTATATGGTAGGGGGGGCTACACCCAGTCTAAGTAGCGAATGATAGTCCGGTTGCGTACTTCTGGAAGTCTATATCCCAGAGCTAAAGAGCCTCCCCGTCGGTTCCAAAAGTTCATATGCTGTTCCTGTAATGCAACCCTGGTTTTTCAGTCGTCTTGGGCAATCAGTGAAATATGTTTATACATCCGAATCCCATCCATCCTAAGAAAATTCGTCTCATCGGACAGAGCACATGATATCTTATAAGCATATCTGTATTTGTATTATTCCAGCACATTGGAATTATCTTCTAGGCAACATGGAGTTCCGAAAGCCCGTATTCGTGTCGTGTGAAGGGGCTCTTATGGTAGATTAAGTTGCGTCGAATAGTTCAACTCGACGATTTGGCGACTAGTAATTCTACATGGTGGTACGAATTTTCAGTTTTATTTCAGTTTCTAGTTGCAACTTCGTATAATTTCGTACACAGAATTTGGGGTCTGACTATGGAACTTCAGTCAAAATATTATCTAAGCATAGACTACGAATAACCTGAATGTACCGGAAAGGTCGCAGGATTCATTCCTCCGTCGTCCGTAACGGACTGGTACTTCTCTGTGTTTAAAGTTGCTCGATTATACATACTGATCAAGGACGATGCATTCATAATTTGCTAGTTCGTCCAAGATGAGCGAGATAGTTCAAGAGCTAACAGGTGAACCTACTGACCGGAAGGTCCGCGGTTCGGACCCGACCCCGACATCCCGACTGCGCCTGCCTAGGCTTGGACGACCAAGCATTATATTGTACCTTGTGCTTCCTGCAGGAGGCATGACAGCCAGACACCGAAATGGCGTTGCAACGGGACGGTTATTTATTCTTAATGACTACTTGACCTAGTACACATTGTGCAATCAACAGTTACAAAGTTCCAAGTTTGAGCACCATCTGAATTATGGAAAGACCTGAGACCGTCTCTAGACTTCACAAGAATCATGCTTTATTTGGTTATGAGAAGCATACGCTTAGTGCCCTATTTAGTCACCCGTACAGCGACCTCCCCTGTTAGGTGGTCATTTACAGTCATTCCCATCATTGCTCAGTCAAAGTTTGGACTGGCGTTACCTGCACAGCATTGGCTCCAGCAATTTATGAAATGAAAGTACATTTTGCACTGAGGTATCTTACAAATGATGGTGAGCATCCCTTCAAGATGCGTCCTCTTAGCGGTAGCTTTAGAGGGGTTTCACTGTAATGAGAAATTACAACATCAAATAACCGATTTGGAGAAATCATGCGGTATACAAGCGAGTGTCTATATCAGAAACGAGGATCGTAGAGCTATCGCTCACCTCAGTATCTTCATTCAAATTCCACAGATCAAGCTTTCCGGAACAGTCAACTGTGGCAAACATAGCAGGATGTAGGGGGGACCAATCGGCATCAAACACTATATCTGACGCTTCTTCGAATGAACAGATGGGGAACGAATCCTTCGTAGACCACAATTTGACAGACCAGTCGAATGAAGTGGTGAGAAACAGCGAAGAGAAGCTTATCGGGCCTTCAGTAGCATGTGTGGAGACGGAGGTGATGGGTGCTTGGTGACCCTCAAGTACCTCGACAATCCCAGCTTGGCTGGAGGAGGAAAAGGTTAGAACGATTAGTCCGATTTATAAGGACACAGAAGAAACGACAAAGTAGGAATTTAAAAAAGTGGAAAAAATCGGTTGGATGACCAAAGCAAAAACCGAACATGTTCTAGAGAGACGGAGAGAGAAATTGGGCAAGAACATTCCGTATCCAAAGAAAAAAATAGAACTTTCAATGCCTATGGTTATTTAACCGTTGTTCTCATGGAGAACAAGAGGACCCAAAATAGCTTTCGCCATATAATTCACTGGAGGTGTACCAGAAAAATATGCCAATGGTATAATTTGCGCGTGTGGAACGTACGTACGCCTGATGAACGCAATTCGAAACACTCCATAGTCAAAGGATGCAGACATTTCCAGTAAAGTTTCCAAAGCAAGTGTTGGTAAAAAAAAGTCTGGCATCGACCCTAATCACGAGGGGTTAAGGCACTGATACGGTACCCTAGATATCATCCGAGTAAACTTCCAAACAATCGCGAAGTCCTCTGCGCTTTTATTTGTCACGCGTCTCGGTCACCACTTGATGCACCTGATTTCTCCTGAACCAGCTTTTTAGTTTGATAGAGGGAAGTGTTAACAGATGTGTCAAAAACTAGCGGCTGCCGTATCATAAAAAACAACACTTCTGACCGATATGTAGCGAAAACAGGTGGCAGCAAACGGGTGATGGCAACTGCGTACTGTGGGCATGGGTATCCACGATAGGCGTGAGCACGCAGCCGGGGTCAAATAATCGGAGTGTCACAACTTCGGCTGGTCCCATTTAACAACTCTTCTGTGGATCACAGTCATAGGAAAGCTTGTATCCAGAAGCTATCACCTACAAACTTCAAGCGATTCTGCAGCCGCTTTAGTGGGTCGCGTCGGTACCGGTATAGCTTTCTGTTGCTTTGCTTCCGTAAATAGCCAGGTTTGTGCCATTCGTTTATCAGCTCTCATAAAATCCGCAGTATCTGAAATAAAATCCGTTCCCTATTTGAAGACATAGCACTAGTACACTGATTGCAGCAGACAGTCGTTATGATGCGTATCAGTAATTAAGTTCATATCTTTGTCCTCGGCGAACCAGCTAGCACTGAGACCGAAGAGCTCACTGCATATCCATCGCGTTGCCTACATATGCATCTACTGAAACTGACCTGAGCGTTTTGTGCGGAGACCAGAAGGAGCGACCTAAGCGTGTGCTTCGTCAGATCTGTTTCGGTTTTCGCCTTATTAAGGTAACAGATCAGAACAAATGTCAACTTCTGGTGAGATTACTGGATGACTAACTTAAATCCAGCGTACGGATTGAGCGGGTGAGCACGGTTATGAAATTACTGAACAACCGTACCACGGTGCAAAAAGTCCGAAAGCGCGGAATACGCATTCAACAAGAAACCTAAAGTCGAATACGGCACATGGTCGACCAAAAAGTGGAACAAGCATGAACGACTTTTCAACTGATAAGGGAAGAAGTTCAAACACTGTTGTCAGAATGGCCAGAGCAGGAAAAGCAGAGGTAGTTATTACAGATATGTTATCAAGAACAAAAAATGAGGAACACTACTGTTTTTGGGATTTTGTCATCAGATCAACACATACCCGGCGGTTACAATATTGTCGGTGGTCAAAATGACGGTAACGGTATTTTCCTCAGCATGGTTCTCGGTCTGAGCCTCCCAAGCTAGCCTTCACGTCAAAACATCCACTAAAGGTGCACAAGGTCTATTAATGCCCAAAACGAAGTCAAGAACAGTTGTACAGCACTTCGTATATACAGCGTAAGCGGTTATAACTTTCTGGAATTTCTGACGCGTTCTGGATGCGCCATTGGCAACCGGCATTTGGCCAATACTGGGTCATGACTGGCTGTTGGGTCCAGATTGTTGACCAATCAGGTCTCGTCTTGATGCCGGACCGGCAAGCGTCCCGAATTCTGGGCCAACCTCGAGCGGGCCAGGCTTATCGGCCGTAGCAGCGCCTAAAGACGTGCGGTATAGCGGGATTCGTGTGGATTCCTGCCTAACAGTAATATATTTAGATTTGGTGACTAAAGTAAACGGGGAACAGAATAAAAAACAGAATGGATATAAAAATCAAGTCTCACTGGATTGGACGGAGGCTATTCAAAAATTCCGCTAAACGAGTGGTTCTGGCAACGCATGACCATAACGAGTTCAAATTTTGCATGTATCACTTTTCACAGCATAGTGCCGAGCGACGTAGTCGTTCGTATCACGATTGCCAAGCTAATTCCTCGGTTCGCTACCGACAACCCACGGCGAAGTTTGCACATGAATTGAAACGACTTGCCTGGGTTGGTCATGTGAAAACGATAGAAAATTTGACCACGATAATGGGTCTACTGTTGTTCCCGCGTGAGAGGTGTTCGTGTATTATCTGGCTAAGTTTTCGTGCAGTGCGCCAAACGCTCAGCCTTACAAAAGCAGGAGAAAGCACACAACCATACACCGGGGGTGGACCGCCACCTTCTCTTTCAGGTTTAAATCGAGCGCTGGTTTTGTGGTAAACCAGTCTTACACGACCTAAGGCTGCCCCACTTTGACGTGGTGGTCGGACTTCAGTGCTGCNACCAATTTATTAGCTCCCGCCTGCAATGCGCAGCTACCTACACCTCCCCCCAAATCATCGGTGGACGAAACTGCGGCAGCTACAACCACTGTACGACGAGTACGCGGTTATTACAGCTGACAATAATGATGATGATGAAACCGGTCTTAGTGTTACTGTCAGGAAAGTTCTTTGTGAAGATTGGAAGGTATGGAGACTGGCTGTATGCACCAACAGGTTACCTTTGACACAACTAGATCGGCATCTTCACAACAGCCATCAGTGTGAGTTTAGCAGATCTTGGAATCATATTTTTGGTTGCAAATGTGTGTTCCTTCGACGTTACATAAATCTTTATAAATCTCCATCGGCTCCTTAAAAGAGCAAAAATTTCACGAGTACATTTACTCATATACCTTGGAGAGTGTTCGTGGAGGTTTCTGTCCCATTGAATAGGCTTACAACTTGGTCCATCTCAATTTATAAAGGACAGAATAACGGTAGAAAATGAACGAGTTTACTTTGGACTACGGTAAACTAGTGATCAATGAATTATTTAAAGCAATCGATACAGCTTACTGCTCAGCGAAATTAGCATTCCACTCTTATTGGAAATAATCAGCAGTGCGCATCTCAGAAAAATCCAGAGGGTTTCAGACTCGCGAGCTCCCGGCTAGTGGTTTGACCAATTAACCTTTCGGGCACGAGCGGTTAATCAGGACAGCGATTAAATTGCACTCAGGCAAGACACAGCACCAATAATACTTCAGTCATAGAATCCACATCACGTGTTAGCTGGCTCCTTGAGTGACGATTTCTCAGATGGAGGTCTCACTAGTATTGCGAAATTATTCTTCCTCTGAGCTACTTATGGATTGTAGGTAGTTTCATAGAACGTGCATTGCTGATGTTACCTGATTAAGTTGCAGTACTTCTCGGCCTTTCAACATACGGTGCGAAAATTCCCAACCATCCTCAAGCTACAGATAAAATTAGCTTTTCCGTTGCCAACGAAAAACTGACACCTTGTTGTGGTGGTCGGGCTTAGAAGTTGAACTGATTCCGACGACTGTACTGGTGAATGGTCGTTCCACAAGGCGTCACCACTCTACAGAAGTCAAAGGAAAGCAGTCCGACGAACACTAACGAGTAGTCGTACTACGATTAGTCGTAATAAGAGGCATACTGGAGATAAAGATGTACCGTACTGTGTCAGGGCAGTAAAGTGTTTCTACCAAGCGACTAACATATGCAAATTTATGGAAATGATCATGGTTTTCCCAAGGAAAGACATGTGGGAGAAGGTCGATGCTGAAAATCACACGCCACATCGTTCAGCGCGATGGCTGTGAAATAGAAATAAACTCGAAATAAAGGTAAGAATTATCAAGAGCTTGATGCCCTCGGGATATATCAGCCAGGCTGGTCAGACCATAGAGACAAGGTCCCCCATAACAACCGAACTAGCCAGACTTTTGAGTCAAGCGCTACGGTAGGTGTACGAAAACAAAACCCTACATCCTTGCACTGCCTTGTGGGCCCGATTTCTATCTCAAACGCTCAGCTCGGGATACCACAAACAAACTTTTTTTCGGCCTGCGCAACTGGGAACTATCATTTTTACCCTTGAAACTCGTCGTTCACCAGGCCCGCCCACACACTCTCCTGACCCTTGAGTCGGTCTACTGCGTTCACCCCACGTGCCAGTCCTCTAAACATTATTCCCTGTCTGAACTACCGCCCTATCAAATGAACCAAATAGATCCATTACTAAACTGAAATACCTAACCCACATTGCAGGATTCTCTATTCATACTCTCCGTCGAATAGGGCAACTAGCAATCTTTTCGGGAAACATGCTTTCCATTTCTGTCCATGTACGTTATGTCCATGAACCTTAAACCACTAAGGACAAGCTCAGATAGTCCACGTTTCATTGTTGAGGTATCTGGTGGTCCCGATACAATGGCTAGTGGTGTCCACGGTACCTGAACATGCCAGACGAAGTTTCACCATCAGAAACACTTTCTATTCGGACTCATGTAGGATATCCCAAGACCGACCTTTTTATAACCCAAATACAAACAGTTTTAGGCGCACGAAAACCATTAATTCATTACTAAGAAATGGCATCGTGAAAGTAAACTTCAAGTAGAATGGAGAACGAAATGCCGGCGGTATATTCAAATAAGTGACAAGTCACCAGCCAAAAAGCCAGCAAGCACTGTTAAACCAGAAATATTTCGCGTGCTGGTAAGAAAATCAATGAAGCAAAGTGCCGTCATATCACCGTGAGATGGATGATTATCAGTATCACATATCACGTGATCCCGATACATGTCACTTAAACTTCCGGTTCATGATTTCATATATGGTGTCTGTTTAGAGGACCGATTGTTGCGAAAAAAGAGTGAAAGTGAGGCTAAAGCTGGAGGAAAACGCTGAGAAAAAACTGGTTCAGTTATTCGTATAAGACAAAGAAATCAAATTAAGGGCTGCAAAACAAGAAACGGCAATGCGGTTCAAACGCGAACTACTAACAGAAAGATCTGTAGTTTGAATGAAGCCAGGGTGGTTGGATTGCTCCTGTCAACGCTTGGGCAACCTGGTAGCACTTCATTTAGGTTGCACGGCAGACAAGAAGAATTTTACAATGTAAGGAATCGTTTTTCAAACAAAGAGTGCACCGGTGCCTACGGCACCAGTTTCTGAGTGTTCATTCTGAATATTCACTCCCCAATGCAACCCATTCAACTCAAAAATATAAATCTTCCCTTTTTAGAGGGAGGTACGATACCACAATAGACGAGGAAAACAGTCATTCAAGACTTCCGCCCATTGACCCAGCTATTTAAAGTTGCTATCAAACAATCCGGCTTCATTTAGTTACTATTTGAGTCCGATTTGTTCGGCGTTTCAGTAACTTGTAATAATATGATGCCGCGCCATTACTGGTGTTTCAGTGCTGAGTACATTCGCTTTAGGAAATCTACACTGGCTTAGGACAATCGGGAAGAATTTTCACCTTCTGAGTCTGGATAGTCTTGCGGGGACCAACACAGAGCGAACTATGGATAGCTCAAAATTATCCATCCTGATGAAAACACACGGAGTCAATCGCGGTAGACTACGGTAGAATGACTTTGTACTCTGAGTCGATCTGAGCCTGATCAATCAATCCAACAAAATGAGGGCAAACTACTGTTCACAAAATGTGCCACCTATCCAGCTACGGTAAGCTCAGCAAAACACAGACAACACAACGTACAAGTTGTGAATATCATTCATACGTCATGCTTTATTACACTGTGCTTCCACTAGGTGTGAATCTGGGACCTCTCACAGCAGAGCACAAAAGATCACGTGTATAACGACGTTAATTCTTACGTATCTGGAAAACCACACAATTGTGTGGGCTGAGTTAAAATACATGGCTTAGCGATACCACACATGTCGGAGAGGGAACTCCAAAACGATCGATGACTTTGGTCAAAAGTATACACATAAGGGGAAAAATGACAAGTTTTGTTGTGGAATATGATCCCATGTCATTAATCTGAATGCCGCATTTTGGCCTTTCCTCATCTCTGAGTGTTTATCAGTTTTTGACTCCCCATCCAAATACTCGACCGTCATGATAAGGCACAAAGTCCACTTGCAGATGGCCACGAAAAGGATCTGCCTGAGTTCCAAATATACTAAACAGTGACGAATGTTTAAGCTATGTTGCTAGAAATAATAATACTGAAGAATTTCTACCAACCTCATATTTGAGGATTGAAAGTTTGCGGGTATTAAATATTGATTATTAGTTGTAGCCAGAGTAATAAACAGTCACAAAGCACATGGTAGCGAACATTTACATCACGATCGCAAGGAATGAGGCAACCACCATCTTTGACTTCAGGACGAGTAAAGCAACCGATGAGGATAGGTCATCCTATGAAAGAAGTGATGAGTGACCAGTCCTTGATGCATGCACATCGGATTTTTACTTTAAGCTTCAAATGAAAGCGAAGACTACGCGATAGGATAATGAGCTAAGCAGCTGGTACAGAACGATATTTACATACCTCCCATGTCGTGACCCAGTGTAGACGCGGCCATCCTCTGACCCTACAAGGAAGTTGTTAACATCTTCGTGGAAAAAACTCATCGACGTGGCTGACACGGGACGTGTCTGGCGGTAAGTGAGCTCCATTGACTGCTGAGGTTGGCTGAGCATGTCCAAACTCCAGGAACAGAGTTTTCCATCCGAGCTGACGCTGATGAGATTATGAGCATTCTGTGTACCGACAACCTTGACTGCATGGACCGGATGAGTGTGGGCGGTGGCCGACAGCATTGTCCGTTGGACAGGAGTGCGTTTGGTACACCTGAAATGATAAATATCCGCGATTACCATAAGTACACAACAAACAAACAGAGGAAAACGGAACAACTCACACGGAAGACACAACCATCCCATTCTCATTTCCTCATCAAAAGCCTTGTGTGAAATTTGAATTCAAAGTTCCAGCGCACCAATCCTTAGTAGTCCAGTGTACGAATAACACGTCAGTGTATGGAAGAATGTATCGAGGCTCTGACTTAACAATCGCATCATAAGTCAGTGAAACAAGCCCACGAAGTTATGCTTGGCTTTGGTTTGGTCAATATCTTTCTGTGGACACCTTCATGCATATACGCAATCCAAGGCACTGTTCAGCCAATCAACTATAAACATGTAGCAATTCAGAGCAGTCACAAGACCTCCGACAAGTAATACGAAGCCGCTGAATTGTCCCAGTAGCAAGGTATCGTATATCTGGGGCATATTTGGCAGTTAAGCATGCCGCTTGGCATGTCAGAGGTACAGAAATGTCAAGCGACAGAGGACTCACCTGGCTGTCACCTGGATGGGCGGAACCTCAAAACCTACCAGGGCCATGTGTGGTTGATAACTCGAAGCAGGTTAGCAAAATGGTCTTCAAACACATTAACTCACGAAGTAATGTGGGTATTCAGTCTACCCTTACAAGCTGCCTATGTACATTTTGCAATATTCGCGACCAGAAAAGGCATTTTAAAGTAGCCCACTAATTTTTATCTCTTGGATCACCTCCATCATCTCCATAAAACAACCCTGAGTCTTCAGTGATGCTGACGCATTTAAAAACACATTTTGCTGTTTTACTTTTAGGGGTTTCAAGTTTTCGCTTCCATCCATTCATCGTCCTTCGTCTCCAGTCATTCATCTTTTGTCATACATATACCACGAATTTATGGGACGTATGGTCTCAAATTTCATTCTCTAATCTGCAGTGTTGAATCGGTATTTTTCACTCCTTCAAAGAGAAACCGCGAGTCCATCTCCCGGGCGTTTCTCCCCTCCAGCAACAGCGACGCAGTCCATTTTGGAAAAAAAGTGTCGGTGACCGAGGGTGCCAATTCTCCCACTTCAGAAACAGACTTCCACAGTTGAAATGATGGATATTCAGTAGTATTAATGGGGCAGAAGAAAGCCAGTTTTCAACAAACGAAGATCGCTACATAAGTATTTAAAGAAACTGAGTGAAAATTTGCCCCCACTTAGATTCGGAGTTTGGGTAAACATATGCTAGTGATCTGAGAAATCTATAACCCCTTTTGCGCTACTATTATCACTTAGTAAGATATATACTAGGTTTCTGGCCACTTTACTCATTCGCTTTATGTGTGGAAACAAATAAAGTGCTGCTGGGCTTGTTTCATACACGTCACGTACGACATACTCACCGATGAAATCTTGTTTAGTTCCGATTTCAAAAATTAACTGACTCTTCATGGTCGGTGGGCAGGAATTAGTCATTTTGAGCATGCTAATAAGGCGTCACAGGAGACAGCCAAGATCTTAACTCAAAGTAGTCCGGTGTTGAGTACTACACCACTTTCGAATGACCAAAGCAAGACTGTCTTATCCAGCGGCAGGTATTCAGTGACGAGGTTCGACTATGAGACTTAGGGCCTATGAATTACGATGGTACGCACGAGTGAGCGCGCACATACTTGTATGTTCCCTACGTTGGAAAAGAAGTCAACCACAAACTGGCGAACTATATTACACACAAGGCCGCTGCCGACAAGGAAAAATGTATAAAAACCATCACAGGACCAAAAAGCTACTCAGTACTCCAACCAGAAACCGCTCATTCTGGCGCATAGAAGATGTTGCCAGTTGTAACTTGTTTTCCACTTGTCTCCCATATACGGTACTTCCAAATTTCCAGCAGGTGAGGTTGCACTCTTCGGGTATTTTCCTCCTGAAATTTGGTCCAATTTCTTGTCTTTCGACACACCGAAGCCTCTTCCATCAACCACCATGAGAAACGCTCGTCAACCTCCACTGTCCTTCGGGTTTCCGAAGCCTTCTTGCTCAGATGGCAACCTTCCGAATTTATTTCGAGATAATGAATACTTCTCCTACAATCATTTGCTTCTATCGTTGGCGCGCATCCCAAGTCCTCATGGAAACCTGATATAACCAACCGGGTTGTTCTTATGCAATCCAGAACGAAAACAGGTTGGTTATAAAGCGGATACTTCGAGAAGGAGACTTCTCAACAAAAGATACTAGACCTACCAAACGTGAATTGAGTCTCCTGCAAAAAGCTAATAATCACGGTGTCAATCACCAGTTTTATCCGAATTCATCGGAAATCTGACGCACAGAAGTGAAAACGAGTAGGATGATGGAAAGACGCTGAAGGCTACCAATATTCACACAACAGTAGTTTCGGTGAAGAGAAAACAGGTTTTCAACAAGCAAAACAGAGAACATAAAAGTCACAGCTGAACTGGAAACGTGTGAACCATATGCTGTTGTGACCATGTTGAACCACCTTATGGAACGTATAGTGAGCTATATATCAGAGTTCACGAAAAGTCTGTAGTGTGCAGGTTTCCAGAAAGCGTGCCAAAAGAAACAGATTAACACGTACACTCAATTAAAACCACGTCGAACAGTAATCCAACCACTACATGGCTGCTGTTGTCCAAGATTGTGGAAAGAACAGCGTCGATCAAAACGCAGCCTGTGAATCAGTCTCATCGGATAAATGAGCAGTTGAACAAAGGAAATGCTGGATTTGTAATTATGCTAGCCACTTCCAAGACGGCAGATGCACCAAGAAGCACCATTCCAAACAAATGCGTATGCCAACGGAGATCCACTTTGCTTTTAATAGGTGCCCAACTGCTACACCACCCGAAGAAAGTACGGGGGCTGAGATGCTGCTAGGCAGCCTAAGCATAGACAGGGGTAAACGAAATGCCCGGGGTGGAATGAAATCACGGACCGCCCGGTCAGTAAATTCGATCTTTCACCACAAGTTGATATACAGACAGTTAAACAGCCTGAAGACCCGTATTGTACATCGGTTGATTAATACCAAACTGTTGAACAAAACCTAGAAACTGATGACATTACCGTCAGTAAATATCGACACTAGTGGTACTCTCAAATCGAAACCGCCTATGGATTGGGTAGCACAACATCCACACCAATAGCGGTTGATTTTTAGCTCCGATAATTGTAAGCTTATTCTCTTCCTTACAGGAAACGCACAGCCTCTTCAAAGTACGTTTGGAACAGCATAAAGTTGGATGAAGCCAAAAGTTTTCCCAAACATTCGGAGGCAAATAAGCGCGCTGATTTAGGAATTCACTCCAACGTAGGATTCTCGTTGACGAGGACTTGGATAATTGGAGATAGTAGAATGACAAGTGTGGCCAAATGGTGTTATCTCAGCTAAATGTAAAACGATGTGTACAATTTGAACAGCTGTCGGCTTGACTGTGAACCGTACTGGTAGATAAAGTTTAGGCTATCCTGCCTCAAAATGCCACTCAATGATGCAGGATGAAGTTGGCTGCATGTATATCGTGCCTGACTGTAGTGTGGTACGACCCAACTCTAGTTCCGGACTGGTATGCAAGGTTCCGTTTTATGATGAATACAACCCGATTACTGCAGTACTCTATACGTGGAAAAGTAACACACTGTCGGAAATGGTGGCTAGTCTCACTGTGTTTGGAATCTTCACTATTCAGTCATCATCAGCAACAAAGAGGCAGAGCCAGTCCTCTTACCCTGGAGAAATTCGGACTGTAGGGGACATGACAGATGATCAGTATGCTCACTGGACTGTAATCAAAGGATTTATTTCTCAAAATGTACAACACGCTCATGTCGAAACAGAGTTAGCCCGTACTTCAGGTTTGGATACATCTGTCATTTACCTACTATATGGAGCGAACCAGAGGATACAAAAGATTGTATGCATAAATATAACACCAGTTGGAAGAGACCATCGTACGATGATCAGTCTATTGAATACAGCAAACGTAAAGCGTACGAACACGGAGAGGAAGAAGCCGTAAACTTCATCGCATGGCGAGGACCGTGAGGCGTTTAACCCCAAAAAGAAGGGGATAAGTTGCCTAAATAAGTGGAGACAAATCAACGTTGCTAAACACACATCATGGGAAATCACGCAGACACAAAAATGGAATCATCATCAACAGCAGCAGTAGCTGTAAAAAACCGCGTACTGCTCACATAGTGATCGTACCTACCATGGCTTCGTTCGTGGAGTATGCAGAGTAGTTAACTACGCAACGGAAGCGGTAGGTAATATAACTGATGCGTAAACAGAGGGATTTCAATGGACTTCTCATTAGGGAGATGATGGCGGGGGGCAGCTATGTATCGAAGGCTACAGCTTGGACGCATGAGCGCCATTAAGGGCGCGATTGGGCCAGGTCTAATCATTGAGGCGTCCCGCCTCGGAGTTGCCAAGATTATATGAAACATAATTTTTATATATCATTGACAGGTAAGTATCACTATATTTTCAGTCCATATACTATGGTTATTAGATGATTGAAGAGTACATTGGGCCCATCTATTCTGCCTGCCTTCTAATTTCGAACTAGAACCACTCAAACCTCAAGACAGGAGTCCTCTCCAGGGAGACGGCGAGGACCAGCACAGCTGAGTTTGTACACAGTGGCCTTCATATTTCACTGCCAAGTCATTGTTTTACCTCCTCTGGCTCGCTTCCACTCTGCGCGTTGTCGCGCAAAAACAGCTCTTCGAGGATGTCGGCTAACTGGCACCTGATCGGTTCATCTGTCATATGCAAGTTATCTCTTCCGAGAACGACTCGACGTACTTCAACGGTATCGATCTGTTGTTACCAATGATCCGAAGGTGTGACAAAAATTTAGATTTTTAACATTCTCGGCGTGCACCGGCTCAGTTTCTGATCCGTATACCAACATGCAGCGCACTGCAGCACTGTAAGCTCGACCCTTGACGGGTAAGCTGATGTCACACAAGTAATGGATGCACAGGTAATGCAGGTTCACGAAAGCTGCTCTGGCCTTCCCAGTTCGTGCGGAGATACCACCCTTGGCTAGGCCGTCGGCAATGATTCAGGTATCCAGGTAAACAAATCTGTCTGCTAACCCAAATGGCACATCCACAAGCATGAGCTCAGGGTTCCAGTCCACAGAGTCTTGCAGAAACACTACATTTTGCAGGTGTGAAGCACATGTCAGACCATAAGACAGAGTTATTTAGAATATTTAGTATTTTTTGCGTTACGATGGCGGCAAACCCAAGAACTTTGTAGTCTGTATAGTTAATATCCGTGGATAAACGCCCTAGGAGCTTTTCGATCCCACAGGCTGGTGGTGAGTGTTCCATAATCATATCAATGAAGAAAACGAAGAGGAAAGGTGAAAGAGGACGGTCTTGCCTGACACTACTTGATGTAGTGAATCCAGGCGAGAGCTTCCCGTAGACTTTCACACGTCCGCGGGAGTTTGCGCATAGAGCTTTGGGGAGTCAAACATTTATGAGGAACACCTTTCCTACACAGACACTGCCATAGTGCCTGAGGATCCACAGAGTCAAAGGAAGATTTCAAGTCATGAGAAGCCACCAGTGTTGGTTGTTAGAAGTAGTGTTGCTGTTCCAGAATCTGTGAAGATGTGATCGATACATCCTCTTTCATATCGGAACCCAGCTTGATTTCCACGGATCTGTTTCTTCCTAGGCTAAGCCAACCGTCGAAGGATAAGACCAAAGAGCACCTTCGATACCACAGCTACCAGGGTGATGCCACGGCGGTTTTCACACAGCGTCCACGTACCGTGTCTGAACACCGGAATACCTGTCGATGTCCCTCATTCAGCATGTACTTTTTTCGCTCCATGAGCATCAATGAGCTTTGTTAAATAGGTCACCAGGGATTCTCCAACTACTCTGACGAGGGCTAGATACATACCATCCGATCCCAGTGCTCTCTCACGATTCAATACTGGTACTTTGTACTTTATTTCTTCTTTTGGCGGGCGATTAAGGCTTACATTCCAGCGGTTAAGTCCGACCACAAAGTGAAGGTTGCAGTTTTAGGTTGGCCCCAACCTGGAGGACGGATTGTATCAGCTGTGAATAACAAGAAGCGGTGATTCGCCTTCAGTCTTTATGAATGCTAAAACTGGCCTACACAATTTATAGCTTCTGTACGTAAGAACCGGTACTTTGTCAAGACAAAAGGACTATTATTCGGTCGAAAGGTCTGACAAAGTGGTCCCTATTACAGAAGAATCAGCTTACAACGAAGATCACTTGGCTCATTCTCTGCGAGTAGCGTCCACTTTGAGAAACCATTGTATTCACTACGACTTCAAAGGAAAAAAATAAGTTGTCTTTGAAGTTGAACCAACAAGCACCAGGAAAATCTTCAGCTTACCTATTGTCCCATATTACAATCTGCCCAGAGTAAGTACCACCAATAACGAGGTTGGGGTGAAACAAGGCCAGCGTGGCTGAGGTAACAGGAGACTGACAGTGGAAGATATATTCCGGGGTGGTTTTCTGAAATTTCAGATTCCAAATGAGACACACGCCATCGGGTTCGTGGGGAGCATCTTCATTGGAAAAATAGGATCCGAGCAGCAGCTCTGGATAGCTGGGGGACCAGTCGAGAGCAGTGACGCAACGACGTCGCGACCAACGATCGTCATAGAAGTCGCGACCAAAGCGAAGCAGCTGATGACGTTGGGAGGCACTGAGGATCACAAAATGTGCAAGGAAAATTGACAAGTGCAAAGGGCCGTGGGAGGAGAATACTTAACGGTTAGATAAGTCATAAGTATCTGGACGACGAAGGCAAAATAAATGCACAACGTGTAGTCTGGAACAGAACTGGTGATTCACAATATGGTTCACGATGTGATATGATTCACGATATGGACAATTGACGGGCGAACAAATGGAATATGCACTCGACTGGCCGAAGAGGATAAGTTCAGTAATTCTTCTGAAGAACCGATGAAGTAGCCTGTAGCCAAATTCGAAAATTCATATCAACCTTACCTTATATGGAAAACAGCTTTTCATCAAGAAGAGAAATACAACACAAAATTCAATACCTAAAACAGGATTAGCAACTAGGTTTGGAGAGCCAACATTCTTCATTCATCGAGGATGGGGATCAGGATAACTGTATCACGATTCTCCTGACCTAAAGCTGCCACCTTGACGGGGTGGTCGGACTTCAGTGCTGCGATGATCCCGCGAGCTACACTGGCTGGAACTTCGTTCCACAAGGTGCAACCATGCCAGGAAGGCTAAAGGGGAGCAGCCAGACCAAGAGCAGCGAGACCCCGCACTACGAGTAATCGTGGTACGAGGCGGTCTGGGGGTAAAGTCGTACTATCCTATGCGACATGAGTGTGAGGGCAGTAAGGTGTTTCCCCCAGGCGACCAGCATGTCCATATTTATGGAAGCAGCGGTGTTGCCTTCCCACGAGGAAGGACGGGTTAGAAAAGGTCGGCCCCAAAAACCGCACACTTCGATCGCCCAACGGTTGACCGTGACCGCCGACGCATTATCCAATACGGTCGAAATACTTTTAAAGCCAAAGAGCCCGGTGCTGCTCAAAAGGCGCCTGCTGTGCGCAGCCGCATCAGGAATGAGACAGTGATGCCTATTTTCCATGCACCCTCGGGTTAGACCAACATCCTGCAGCCGAGCAGGTCAGACTATTGTGTCGTCGGCTCCTGGCAGGGTCTCCAAAGAAAACCCTACATTCTCCCACTGCCTCGTGGGTCAGAATTTTCAGTCAGAGGCAAGGGTCCTCGAACAAAACCCTACGTCATCCCACTGCTTTGTTGGTGAGACCTTTGAGTCGAAGGCTCAAGGTGGGGTACCTCAACCAAACCCCCTTCCTCGGCCTGGTCAACCGGGAAGTATCATTTGCCGGTGCAGTTCAGCGTCCACCGACGTTCCTTCCCAACGCCTTCCCACCGCACAAGCAAAAGTCTCCGAAGCACGCATGGTTATGCATCTCAGAACCCCAAGAACGAAAACAGCTCTCTCACACTTCTCCCTCCGTGTGTCCGGTGACCCAGATGACTCGTGGAATATATGGCGTGGGAGTTGCACTCAGCCCCAGAGCTGAACGCGCTTTGCTGGATTGGATCCCAGTGAACAGTCGTCTCTGCGGCGTCCGGTTATCCAGTTCAATCAAGCTCAATGCTTCCCGGCATAAAAAACGGTACCTGTTTGTCGTGTCGGCATATGCCCTAACGGACTGCAGTTCTGATGCGATTTGAATGCTCAAGTAGCTCGTCTGAGCTCCTTGGAATCACATTTAGGTGGTCGTTTCGGAGTCCCTGCTCGCCGCACAGACAACGGAGATCGACTCCTTCAGCTGTGTGCTGATCACGAACTGTTTCTAGCAAGTACGAACTTTCAACATAAACGTTCTCATCGCGTAACCTGGCGGCCGCCAACTACAAATTAACCGTGGACCCAGTTGGACCACGTGGCCATGGGCCAACGGTGGAGAGCCACAATTCAAGACTGCCGTTCTTTCTGGGGCACACCACTTGATTCCGATCACGAC